TATGTTTATTTTACCAATTGGTGTTAATATTCTCCTTTTCCATGATCTGATAAGTGATTTAAGTTTTGTTAGTTTTTTTTATCAAAGTTCAGTTTAGGTATCTCATGTAAATTAACGTGAAATTCAATGCCAAGAAGTGTAAAGTTTTCCCTACCCCATTGTAAGTCAAGTTCTGGAAGGAATTTATCTGAGCTAAATTTTGTATTGCCAATCCAAACCACTTGAGTTTTTGAAATATTCATTTTTAATCCTGATATACTTGCATAGAAATTAAGTTCAGTAATCCACTTGGATTATACTTAATGAAGTCCTGCGACCTATTTCTAGAATTTAACCCAGTACAGATGTCTGACCTAATTAGGTCAATGTGACCTACTTTTGGAAACTTGACCTACACTATAAAAAGTTGTCATCGGGTTGAGATATAAACATTAAACTGATGTTTGATCAAATTGTGTCACTTTGACCTAGTTTTGAAGATTTTACATTAGCATACATGGTCGTAGGAGTCAGAAATTAACATTTAACAGATGTTAGACAAAATTAGGCCACTTTGTCCTAATTTTCAAAATTTGACCTACATCATCAGAAAGGGTCATAGGGTTCAGATAATAATATTCAACAGGTTTGACAAAATTAGGTCAACGTGATATTATTTTGAAAGTTTGACCTTCATTATCCAAAATAACAGGAAAAAAATATTATAGAACAAGAGGCCCAAGAGGGCCTGTATCGCTCACCTGAATATTTAAGCAGTCATAGCAAAATATTCTCATTAAATATTATATTGCACTAAAAATATTTCCCTCGCAAACTTTGTTGGCTCCATCTGTTGAAACTACCAGCAAAATATTATTATAAGATTCTATGCTTTTTGATTCTTCTTCAGAAGTTGCTGGACATATTTTTCCCTGTGATCTTGTAAGTAGGTCAATGTCATTTTCCTTCTCAAATTGGTTAGCTCTATTCCAAAAAGCTACCAGCCAAATCTTATGAATCCATTCCTTTTAGTTCTCAAGAACAAATCCATTAAAATGTTGTTGACCTCTGTGACCTCTAAAGTAGGTTGAGGTCATTTTCATTTGCAAACTTTGGTGAGCTCTATCCCGGGAAGTCACCAGCCAAATATTATAATTTTATGCCTTTTAATTCTTCAGAAGAAGCTGTTTGAACTGTTTGACATATTTGAACGCTGTGACCTTGAAAGTAGGTCAAGGTCATTTTCATTCGCAAACTTTGTTTGGCTCTTTCCCAGGAAGCCACCTGCCAAATATTAAGATTTTATAACTACCAGTTCTTCAGAAGAAGTCGTTTAAAGTGTTTGACATATCTGCCTCATGTGACCTTAAAAGAAGGTCAAGGTCATTTTCATTCTCAAACTTTGTTCGGCTCTTTCCTAGGAAGCTACAAGCCAAATATAGAGATTATATACCTTTCAGTTCTTCAGAAGAAGTCGTTTGAAGTGTCTGACACATTTGACTCCTGTGACCTTGAAAGAAGGTCAAGGTCATTTTCATTCTCAAACTTTGTCGGGCTCTATCCAAGGAAGCCATCAATCAAAAATAAAGATTCTATACCTTTCAGTTCTTCAGAAGAAGTCATTTGAAGCTTTTGACATATATGACCCCTGTGACCTTGAAAGTAGGTCAAACTAGTTTTCATTCTCAAACTTTGTTGGGCTCTATCCCAGGAAGCCACCAGCCAAATATAAAGATTATATACCTTTCAGTTCTTCAGAAGAAGTCGTTTGAAGTGTTTGACACATTTGACCCCTGTGACCTTGAAAGAAGGTCAAGGTAATTTTCATTCTCAAACTTTGTTGGGCTCCATCCAAGGAAGCCATCAGCCAAATATGAAGATTCTATACCTTTTAATTCTTCAGAAGAAGTCGTTTGAAGTTTTTGACATATTTGACCCCTGTGACCTTGAAAACAGGTCAAGGTCATTTTCGTTCTCAAACTTTGTAGGGCTCCTACCAACGAAGCTTTCAGCCAAATATCATGACTCTAGGCCTGTCCGTTCTTCAGAAGAAGTTGTTTAAAGGAAAAGTTGACGGACGACGGACGGACGACGGACACCGCGTCACGGCATAAGCTCACTTGGCACTTCGTGCCAGGTGAGCTAAAAACCGTTATTTGAGCTATATTTAAAGACATTGTCATAAGAGTTCAGAACTTTACATATATTTTTCTAAGCCAGGTCCATGAGAACTACTTTTTTCTAGTTTTACCTCAACTTTATAAATTTTCACATGATTAAGAAATTATACTAAAACCTACTTTTCAAAATTAGACGTACATTATTAACAAGAGGCCCATGGGCCTTAACGGTCACCTGAGTCCTACAGTATTTTTTGTTATTGTTGAAACATGTACCGATTTGAGTAAAAAATAGTTAAGTATAACGTTAACTTAAGTTTGTCAGGTCCATGAGCTGATCATTCCTAGACCGAGTTTATGATATTTCGCATTTTATATGGCGTGTGGAAGCACATAAGTCAACACCAAAACGACCGTACGATGCCACCGGGGGCCGTAAGATAATCTTAAGAAATCCTTGCGGGACATATACGGGAGACTGCCGGGTAGGTTCTGATGAGTTTGGGTCAGAAACAAGAGGCCCAGAGGGCCTGTATCTCTCACCTGTTTCTTTTGTTACATGGAACTGACAAATAGGTAACTTAAGACCAAATTTGGTAACTAGAACACAAGACATTTTAACATCTCTTAAACGGTTCCAAGATACTGTTGTTTGAAATTTGAAATTTGAATTTTAAAGCTTTCGACTCCGGCTAGCACTTAAAGTTGACCTTTAACCTTATTACTGAAGTAAAGAACACGATTCATACAGCTGGTCTATATAACATACCAAAGTATAATGACTCTTGACCAAATGGTTCTAAGGATATTGTTGTTTGAAGTTTTTAACATATTTGACCACTGTCACATTGAAAGTAGTTTAAGGTCGTTTTCATTCGCAAATTTTGTTGGGCTTTATCATAGGATGCTACTGGCAATATGTCGGATCTTCAACAGAACTCGTTCAAAGAGTTCGACACATTTAAAGTTGACATTTGACCTTACTACTGTAATTATGAAAAAGATTTGCACTGCTGGTCTACATACCATACTCAAGTATCATGACTCTAGTCCAAATGGTTCTTAGAATATTGTTGTTTGAATTTTTGAACATATTTAACCCCTCTGACCTTGAAAGTAGGTCAAGGTAATTTTAATGAGGAAACTTTATAGCACTCCATCCCAGGTACCTATTGGCCAAATATCATGACCCTGTGCCTTATGGAACTTGAGAAGATTGTTTAAAGCTTTTAACCCATGTTGACATTTGACCCCTGACTAACACTTGAACGTTGGAAGCTACTCTGTATATGCAGTGATGACGTCGGAAGCTACTCTGTATATGCAGTGATGCCGTCGGAAGCGACTCATTAGATGCAGTGATGACGTCGGGAGCTACTCTGTATATGCAGTGATGACGTCGGAAGCTTCTCGGTATATGCAGTGATGACGTCGGAAGCTTCTCGGTATATGCAGTGATGACGTCGGAAGCTTCTCGGTATATGCAGTGATGACGTCGGAAGCTTCTCGGTATATGCAGTGATGACGTCGGAAGTTACTCTGTAGATGCAGTGATGACGTAGGAAGCTACTCTGTAGATGCAGTGATGGCGTCGGAAGCTAATCTGTATATGCAGTGATGACGTCGGAAGCTTCTCGGTATATGCAGTGATGACGTCGGAAGCTTCTCGGTATATGCAGTGATGACGTCGGAAGCTCCTCTGTAGATGCAGTGATGACGTCGGGAGCTACTCTGTATATGCAGTGATGATGTCGGACGTGACTCTGTATATGCAGTGATGACGCCGGAAGCTACTCTGTATATGCAGTGATGATGTCGGACGTGACTCTGTATATGCAGTGATGACGCCGGAAGCTACTCTGTATATGCAGTGATGACGTCGTAAGCTACTATGTATATGCAGTGATGATGTCGGAAGTTACTCTGTAGATGCAGTGATGACGTAGGAAGCTACTCTGTAGATGCAGTGATGGCGTCGGAAGCTAATCTGTATATGCAGTGATGACGTCGGAAGCTAGTCGGTAGATGCAGTGATGACGTCGGAAGTTACTCTGTAGATGCAGTGATGACGTAGGAAGCTACTCTGTAGATGCAGTGATGGCGTCGGAAGCTAATCTGTATATGCAGTGATGACGTCGGAAGCTTCTCGGTATATGCAGTGATGACGTCGGAAGCCACTCATTAGATGCAGTGATGACGTCGGAAGCTACTCTGAAGATGCAGTCATGAAGTCGGAAGCGACTCTGTATATGCAGTGATGACGTCGGAAGCGACTCATTAGATGCAGTGATGACGTCGGAAGTGACTCTGTATATGCAGTGATGACGTCGGAAGCTACTCTGTAGATGCAGTGATGACTTAGGAAGCTACTCTGTATATGCAGTCATGATGTCGGAAGTGACTCTGTATATGCAGTGATGACGTCGGAAGCGACTCTGTAGATGCAGTGATGACGTCGGAAGCTACTCTGTAGATGCAGTGATGACGTCGGAAGTGACTCTGTATATGCAGTGATGACGTCGGAAGCTACTCTGTAGATGCAGTGATGACTTCGGAAGCTACTCTGTAGATGCAGTGATGATGTCGGAAGTGACTCTGTAGATGCAGTGATGACGTCGGAAGCTACTCTGTATATGCAGTCATGAAGTCGGAAGCGACTCTGTAGATGCAGTGATGACGTCGGAAGCTACTCTGTATATGCAGTGATGACGTCGGAAGTGACTCTGTATATGCAGTGATGACGTCGGAAGCGACTCATTAGATGCAGTGATGACGTCGGAAGCTACTCAAGTGGCTGGAACACACAGTACTATTTATATTTTGTACCCTTACATGTTACTGTAGCACCATCTTCTGTACACATTATCTGTTCAATAACATGTGAAAACAAAGACAGTTTTACTGTGGTACATTCATTTTAATAGTTCCTCATGTATGTGTATATATACAGTTACACATAACGCTAATATTACCTAATATAATGTGTTTTCTTGGCATTTCCATACAACATCATCATTCTGTCCAATCAAGATGCACGATACATATAAAACTTGGGTAATTTGTAATGGGTTGTTTGATTGGCTATACAGCTCTTCCTCTATACACACACATTCCTCACAATGTTCATTTCCCCGACAAGAAATAGTTAAAATGGACACATTTCTTCCATAGTAGAGAGGAACTTCCAGTGTAGGTCAAGTGCTCTCTATCTAACTGGACCTTCCCTTTCCACAAAGACAAAGGGCATGTGCTTATATAATAACCCTACCCGTCCTCCACCACAGTAATGGTCTAGTCCATACATTTCTAGTTGAACATGATTCATATACCCCTTCCCCCTCCCTCTCTCATGTCCCTACAACCCTGAACTGGTCCACTATTACAGGGAGGACAAGGTGATCAACACAAGTTTATACATTTTCATCCCTAGCTCTATTTGTACATCAATTAATACATTAACCTGTCCACCTCTGTAAAGCACAATGAACGGTCAAGTCCAGACCAGTCCATGGATGGAAGGGGAGAGCAAACTGATAAAGTATATACGGTACACAACACTTAGAATGTATTATAACAGATAATCAACGGCTACCAGACTTCTGACACTCCACACCCTACATCTGTTCACATAGACAAACAGAACAAGTCTTATTTGGAAAAAAATTGCAGAGAAATTATTATTTAAGATGACCGGAAATCTTTTTGATTAAAAATTCTTCTTATGTTGACTTGAGTTGCATCTGACATAAGTGTTCAGTTGCTAATAAGTTTTGTATTTAGTCTAGCATTAAACAGCCGTGCCGTGTGACTATAAGCTTGGTGCCGCCATGACGACACAAGGTGATTCACAATAAATAATCCTACTCTACAGGCCACAGACGCTATAAATACACCTTGACATTAAAAATCTCATCAAAACATGGAAAATGTGTCTCAAATCAAGATAACAAAAGTATATCATAAAAGAAAGAAAATGAGGGTGAACCCCTATGTCAACTCACAGCACTTACATACAATATTTGATCCCGAGCAAGCACTTGATGAACTATTGACCTTTGACCCGGCAGAGTTTAACGTCAATATAGACGTACATGAGCACAGCAGGATGCAGTGACCGAAAACAAAACAATCTATAAATATATCTCATCAGACTACAATGTAAAAAGCTTCAGCAAAGAAACCTCAAGAAAATTCAAACCGACTTTTTTGAATCACAATTAACTGTGTGGACAGGAGACTTGCAGTGCTCTTCCGGTCAGCTCAAGACACAATCAAAGAGGAAAAAACACTACAAGTTGTCCTTCTCATACCTCTTAGGGATTACCAGGTATTTTAACACTAGGAGCCCTTAGGGATTACCAGGTATTTTAACACTAGGAGCCCTTAGGGATTACCAGGTATTTTAACACTAGGAGCCCTTAGGTATTACCAGGTATTTTAACA